TGAGGGCTGCACAACTCTGTGAATATACTAAAAACCATTAAATTGTATGCTTTAAATGAGTGAACTTTATGGTATACAAATTATATTTCAATGAAGTTGTTTTTTAAAAAAAAACCGCTCAGCCTAAAGCAACAATGCCTGATTGCTGCTAACTGTGCCCATTACTAAAGAACCCTGAGCCAGGTCTGTTTCCCTACCTGTTGGAAGGATTCCTAAGGTCCCACCCACTTTTGACCCTTCGGAACCCTGAAGAACCAAATGCTTGTCCTGGAGCCCTGGGGCTCGGCTAGGCAGGGAATGGGCCGTAACACCTACAACGCTCAGACTTTGAGAACACAGTGCCAGGGCTCCCACGGTCATCACCGCTCCTCCACGGCCCCACTCCCCGCCAATACTGGCCTGGAGATGCGCTTACCCAAGGCACAGGCCATGGCGGCGCCCACTAGGCCTCCACCCGACACCACCACATCGTACACGGTGTCTGCCGGAGCACCGGCCCACCTCCGGCAGGAGACCAGCGGGACACTCCGGGTAGCTGCAGATGCAACCCCCGACCGGCTCACAGCCAACAAGACCGCCATGCCGCTGAACTGCGCCGGACTCACCGCTAGGCCCGCCTTTGGTAGCACTTCCGGAGCAGAGCCCTCCTATCACTTGCCGGCTCAGCTACTCGGGCTCAGAACCGGAAATAAAACGTGCAAAGAGGACAGGCCAATCAGAAAACGATGCTTTCTTCTTTGGGCGGGATGGATTGGAGGCTCGGTGGAAAGGGGACAGGCTCATGCATCTCCACCTGGGAGCCAATCAGAGCCCAAAGCTAGAAAGGGGCGGAACCCAATCTGCGTTGATAGCTTCGCTACCGCAGCTGTTACGGCCGCTTCTGTCTGCCCAGCTGAGAAGATGACTGTGGGGAGGCCTGCGGGAGCCTCTGGCGGCGCTCGGAACCTTCAGGTGAGGAGGAAAAGAGAAAGGGAGGAAACAAGTCTGAGCCCTGGAAAGGAATACCTAAGAGAGGAAACTGTTTGACGTTGCCTTGGAGACTGATGGCAGGGGCGTGCCTCGGAGGAGCGTGGGATTAAAATTGGTAGCGTTAGGGACTCGAGCTCTGAACCACTTGAGCCTTGTCAATCTCTTCATAGAAACATAGCAGTGGCCCTCAGTTTTCGCTTATCCTCTCAACTACCCTAGTACATTGTTGTCTCCATTTTGTAGAAGAGAAAACTGTGGCACAGGGAGATTAAGAAATTGGCCCAAAATCCACAGAGACAGAAAGCAAATTGGTGGTTGCTTAGCGTTGGGGGTGAGGGGTTGAGTGTAGGGGGTGAGGAGGCAGGTGAGGTGGGGAACTGTTGGGAGGGTTAGGGAAAATAGGGAGTGACTGCCAAATGGTATGGAGTTTCTTTTGGGGGTGATTAAAATGTTCTAAAATTGATTGTGGTGATATTTGTACAACTCTGAATATACTAAAACCCATGGTACACTTTAAATAAGTGAATTATATGAACTGTATGGCATGTAAATTGTATCTCAATAGAGGCATTTAAAAAAGGAAGTTTTCCTAAGATTACACGCTCTTTAGTAGCAGAGTCAGGGCTAGAGCACAATACATACCTTTGACTCAGAATCCAGTGTTCTTTTCAGTATTAGAACTGGACCTTAGAGGACCCAGGAAAACCATCACCAAGTGTCACCTGGAGGCCTGCAGTAGCCTGCCCCCAACTGGTTTCCAGCTGCAATCAGCCATCCTCTGGAGTCCCATCCTGGCACCATGCCATGGCCTTTCTAAGGACACCTTGTGCCACTGCCCTCCAGCCACACTGGCCCTCTTTCTACCTCTCCAGGAATCAAGTTTGTTCCTGCTTCAGGTCCTGCCTCAAGGCCTTTGCTAGTCCTTGAACCCAGAACCCACTTACCCTAGAACTTAGCAAGGCAGTGATTGGTCAATCACCCACTTACTAAACTGTGCCCTTTTCATGACAACATCCATCCAGAGCTGATCCCTGCTTTCCCTAATTCTCATCAGAATTATTCAGGACAAGCTAAGCCTAGAAAATGNGCAACTGATCTGCCTCGCCCGGGAAGAGCGCAATGATGGTGCCAACTTGGACCAGTGAGGCAACGTCCTCCACAACTAGACTGAAAAACAAAACGACAGCAACTTGTCTGTTCCCCTTCCCCCAATTCCCCAGCGCTGTTCCCATCCCCCAATTCCCAAATAAAAATCTTTAAAAATAAATAAAGTGAGATCAATCAGGATATAAACTATTGACAAAGAATATCCTTTGGAATACATGCTATGACGACGAAGGGGAGACACTGGCACACACAAAATCCCAAGCAGAAGTCCACTTGACTCCACAGGAGAAAGCCCCCAACACCATACCTGCCTAGGAAAGGCGGAGAGGACCTGTCCAAGGACAGTCTCCATCTCCCAACTGTTACACAGGAAACAAGCAGAGGTTTGCTCACAGGATAAATTGCGTGACAGATTCCAAACTTCCTGGAGCTTCAACTTTCCTGTTTAAAATTCAGCATTTCCTCTGAGCTTTTAAAGGAAATTAGCGGCGTGTGTTTCTTCTGTAAACCCACGTTTGGTCATTTTGGTACTCAGAGCAGTGATTCTCACAATTTGGTGTACTAGGCCCATGACCTTTCTTTTGCAAACTTATACAGAGAATTCTGTATTGTAACTGTCTGGTTGAAATCAGTCTTCACTTTAAGAATTTATACTTCTGTGGAAGAGACAGAAAAATAAACGATACAGAATTCTTTAAGTTTATAAAAGAATTGCCACTTTCCCTCCTTGGGGTGTGAGGGGAGAGGGTGAGAAAAAGAACAAAAAGGAAAAAAAGCTAATTCAAAGAAGACAGCAAAACACCAAATATTAATACTAAAGTTTTAGTAAGGCTGAAAATCTTTTCAAGTACGTATCATAAAGAATTGTATAAAAAGTTAAAAGCTAAAGTCATTACAAGACAACTAAGCTCTTCCCAATGTTTCTCAAAGTGTGGTCTTCGTACCTCCTGCATCCATCTCCGGAGGTATCTGTTAATAATGGGCCTCACCTGGACAAACGGAATCAGAGTCATGGGAAGTGGAACCTTGAATTTCCATTTTTTAAAATATACTCTACAAACTGGTAACAATGATTACCTTTGAGAAGAACTGGGGGGCTAACAATCAAAAATGAAAGTCTTACTTTACATGCTTTACACTGT